CTCCGATATCCAGCGGTAAAGCTTTAGTTTTCCATTTTCTAGTCAATCTCAAGTTGAATTATACTGAATCGGAGTTGAGATTACCTCAACTCCGATTCAGTACTTACGAGTATGGTTATGTCGTGGTTTTCCTTCATGTCTAACACAGCTTACCCGGGCGCTCGCCCGGGGGAAATCGCAGTTCGTGGATGTTAAAGGAGTGGTATCGAATTGACCGCTCTTAAAATTGTTGTCATAAAACATGATACTTAATGAGTATCATCGTATCGTATTCTATTTCGTTTAAGGTTATACTACGTAGAATTTTACGAGCCGTACCGTCTAGTCAAAGCCGTAGATCGGACGACCTTGGCGCTTGAGAGCATAGACGACATCGCGCATCGTTACAGTTCTTCTGTTAGCGTACTGTGTGTACACCACAGTGTCTTGTACGAGATTCACTACGAAACGCTTTAGTGCAGCCCGAGCCTCCTCGTATATCACAGCGGACATTGGGATCACCCCAGCTCGCCGAGCAAGCCGGCGAATGGACTTCTTCGAGATCGCGTCCAAGTTACTATGTAGAAAATATGGCTGACGTTTGAAACCACTCTTTGCCTTGTTTTGCTTTTGGTCTGGCATCTAGGCTGGGACATCAACCCATCAAAAAATTTCAACCCATCAATAAATGTTAGATGATTTTAAAACTTCTTGATTTCATCTAGTGATACCTTCGTGATGTAACCCTGCTAGAGGAATTTGCGAACTGTGGTCGCTATCGAAACAGGACTAATACACGCCTAATAAACATTAATTTTAAAATATGCCGCCTACATACACTTCAGCACGTACCTCGGAATGTGTAGTGTCGACTTGGTGGCGCTGCCTCCGCTACTGTGTTACAACTGTCGACAGCAACTGAGAAAAAGCATTTTAAAATGCGATAGCTCGTACCTAGTACCGAGCAGCCTGTTACAATTAACGATTAAAACGACGAATGAGCCTACAGGATCCAATGAAGCAAGCTTTAGCGTCGTCCATTATCTCACAGAAATGCCTGTGCCCATCCACACCTTATTCATCAATTAGTATAATGAAGAGGAGGCTGAATGGCTTTGCCGAAGCTTGTATGACGCGTTGTATGGCGGCTTGGTCAATATTCAGGAAAAATTAGTCGAAAAGATGTGTGCGGTAAGTTCTACTGAAGCTACAGCGCGTCCATTATCTCACAGAAATGTGAGTCCTTATTCATCAATAAGCATGAGGAAGAGGAGACTAGATGGCTCTGTCAAAGCTTGTATGGCGCGTTGTAGGGCACTTTAGCAAATTTTCAGGGGAAAAAAAGATGTAGTGAAAGGCTGCGGTATCTGGCACTCTATGAAGACGCGATACAACCGCCAGAAGCCCGCACGCTGCTTCTTGTCCATAAGTTGCCGTCAATGTTGCGTCCATTGGGTCATTGGTTTGGTGGTGCTTCTCGTGACGATCACAACTAGCAACGTCGGACGGCGGCAGTCTTATGCAAATTGTGCACTGCCAGAGTCAAGAACACTAACGTGGTCCACATTTATACGTAATAACTGGGGTGCAGGCTGCGCCGCAGCTACAACACTACCTAGCCAAATGACTACCGGTATTGGATATCTGCTTGTACCGCATACCTAATGGAAAACCGGTATTTTGGAATTAGTGTAAACCCTGTGTAATGCTTGCGAGCCTATTATTAGCTCGATACTAAAACTGTTCACTTTGTGTTTGTATACTTGACTTAGTTTTGTATTGCTGACTTGGCTTTTGTAAGAAAAACCGGTACAAATACGGTTTGTGACAGCCAATCGGCGACAAACGACAGTTCTCCACTTCGTTACGAACTGCGAATAACGTATGTTAAATATAACGCTTAATAAACGGATAGCGCCATGGAGGCACGGACGAAGTCCAGCTCGTTGGAAAGATAGTTACGGTATTGTTATATCGGTCAATCAAAAAGCAAAATATTCGAGGACGGTGCCTCCGTAAGAACGCCAGATCCGAGATCGGGCGACCATACAACGGCAAGTGCGGATGGAGTACTCAAAGAATGATGTGAGAAATGATGACGAAGGCTCAAGACATTGCGAAGACGGTAAAACGACGGTCACCCTTTCATCTTCAGTACATGCACACGGGTGTGGTGTTCATTTCGATCGCCATGATGCCGGTCAGCAGATCATAGAGCCACCATCTTTAACCCGAATCACATTTGTTGCTGCGACACGCTTGGTTGCCGGATCTTCACTCATTATCCTCGATACTTTGTACAATCCGCTGTGGCCGCGCTCATAATACAGTAGACCCCCATTCGAAGAACTAAGCTAAAGCACGTGGAGCATTGGATAACGTTCTCGAAGAACTTTTTTGGGAATGACAAGGGCCCAGTCTGATTTGATTATGAATTGAGGCAGTCGCTGGATATGTACACGTACGTATACAAGCATTCAGTTCGTCATCGGCTTTGCGTTATTTGTGGTACCTGCTATAACTTGCGAATCGCAAGTTGCGATAGTGTTCCAGCTGGTCTTTCAATACAATTGCTTCATTAGTTTTCTAAATTCGAAAAGCAATTTTCAGGATACATGTAGCACTCATAATTGCCTCACTGTCAAGAGTAGATACACTTGTTCCTGTAATATATTGAATATATAACCTTCACCTTGTGAAGATTTTTTTTTCTTGGGCCGGGAACCAAACAACCGTAGGGGGTACCAACAACATGTGCAGGGTATTTATTTAGTGGATTCCGTTACATTCATGTCCTGATGGAGCTGTACATGATGCCAGCACGTTCATCTAATCGATCCATCATACTTGATGCCAGGACGGCAATTCATGTCCATGCTCATTCATTCAGACGTTCATACATTCAATTTTACGAAGCCGCACGCGAGCTTCGATCGATATGGGGAGGAAGCAAGAGATGGTTGAATGGATCGCCGACGATGGTAGAGGCATTCCACCGAGAGTTGTGAGGTATTTAATTGGATTTAGATGTTCCAAAAGTGGTGACATTGACAGAGTATCACTTTACGCGAATGTTTTAATTGAAAAAAAATAGAGCTGTAAACTATTAAAAGCCCGAATTAAAAGACCACTTTCAAAATTGATGACTTGTGAGGGAACTCAAAATATTAGAAACATTGGCACTATTCGGTGAAACCCGTTAAGTGTGTTTCAAACTATGAAACTGGTTTGTGAAATCCACAACCAGAGTATTGAGGCAAATTATAAGGAGTGATCTCTTGTTCAAATAAATTAATAAATTTTCTCAATGGGCACACTAGGGCACATGCTTGTTAGCGTAATCTACGCCTTCAATGCTGTAAAATAAAAATAGCTCTAGCCCATTTAGGATTAGTTGGACGAATATGCTGCGATCACGGTCGTATTTACTTTCAGTGAGCCCCACTCAGCACATGTAGTAAATAAAAAGTTAAAATTTTCATCAGAATTTCTTTGTTTTAGAATCCGATTAGACATTCGTTGTGCCGATCACTAATGCTGTAACGTTGCCCACCGTCAAACATTCGGTTTATTTCCCGATCCGACTCGTAAATCCCAGACCGACTTCAAGATACGAGTAATGGAAAATCTAAGTACTTGATTCGACCGCGTGTACGCTGTACTTAAGTATATTTCATAGAAGTAAGAATTTAGTGTCCCATCCTTAGGATTCATCAACCCGTTGTTCCCTTACGACGGCGAGAACGGTGGGTCCAATCGATTTAGTGTACTCACTTCGCAACTCGATCTCCAGTCATCAATTAGCGTGCTGGTAGAACGACACACGTAAGCCGCAACGATGCGGTTCTACTGGATAGTATTGCTGATTATCGCTACTTTCGTAGCATGCACGACCTCGAAGACGATCACAAACAGCTTTTCTGCGGTCGCTGACAACCAAAATAATGGGAGATTACTTATGGCCAACAGTGCAATATATGAACATGGCGGAGAAAGAGCCAATTTTGGAAGCTTCGTAGGTTCTCTCAAGAAAGGAACATCTAAGTTAGCCGAATCCGCTCGACTGCAGAAGTTCTTGCTGCAGAAAAGGAATGGAGTCGAAGTTATGAAAAGTTTGAAATTCGGATATAGCGTCCAGACTGCTTTGAAAAGCTCGAAGCTGGAGACTTTAAACAAGTACATAACGAAGTTCAACAAGAAACACCCGGACGACCCTATTTCAATGATCGGGATTTTCAGAGAACGCTACGGGGAGGATGCTGTGGTGAAAGCGCTAGTGTCTGCGGAAATGAATGTGGAGTCGGCACCGAATGTAGCAAAGCAACTGCAGGCCGACCAGCTATCCATTTGGTTGAACAGCGATAAATCCGTTGATGATGTTTTCCAGTTACTAAAGATTGTTCAACGATTCGACCCACCTGCGAAACTTGACAGTCCAAAACTGGAATTACTGGACGAGTACATTGCAAAACTCAACAGTGAGAGACATGGTCACGAAACTTTGCTGGATGCCTTGAAGAGAGGTTTTGGTGGTGACGATAAATTAGTATCCATATTAGCGCGGGCAAAAGAGAGCCCCCGCACAGTCGATAAGGCCAAGGGACTTGAGAGGGGGCTTCTCCAGCAGTGGGGACAGGAAAAACTCGATCCGACAAGAGTCATGAAGCTACTGAAGTTGGACGATAATCCGGGTGACGCGCTGGAAAGTGGTAAGTTGGAGACGTTCGAGAAGTATATCGCCCAGCTTAACAAAAACAACCCGGATAAAGAGGTGACTTTGGTGGGGATGCTTGCGTCCAAGTACGGAGAAATCGGTGTAGCAGAGGCAAGTGCGTTTACATTAAAGTACGGCGTTGCGAATACAATGAATGTGGATACGAGTACGGATTTGATGGCAGCAAAGTTACAGAAGCAACAGTTGGAGCTTTGGCTGAATGGTGGTATGACTGTGGACGATGTTTTTAAGCTACTGAAGTTTGAGGAAAGAGTTCGCTTTGGAACTGGACTAAAGTTGGACACGCTGGACGAGTTCATCCTATTATATAATCGGGTGAAGAAAGCAGACGAAACATTGGAAGACGTGTTAACGAGGGGGCTCGGCAACGATGGGCGGGTGGCAGAAATGCTTGCAAAACTTGATGCGCTGGACTCGAGTGAAACGAAAAAACAAGCTAGGAAGCTGCAAAAAAGGCTTTTTAGCAAATGGATGGAAGAAGACGTGAAGCCAACAAGCGTATTCAGCAAGATATTCAAGATATCTGAGGCCGATGCTTCTGATACCCAGAACACAGTGGCAAGTCATTTCAAGGATTACTACGATAATGTACAGCCGACATTTACGGATCCGAGACGTTTGTAGAGCAGCCGGTCCAGTTCATTGAGAACAAACACAATGGCGTAGGTTGTGCTAAACGTACATTTGAGACCTTGAATGCCTCATTTCAAGAGATGAGAACGTTCGTATTCTGCATTCTGACCGTACCAAACCTGTTTTTTTTGTTCAGTCCATGTTGCTGTGTCCTTATCGGATTCCTTTATGTTCGCGTAGATCCACAATATTGGCACCTTCGATCCGACCTCGGACTCAAGCGTACACACACCGGTCTTGAATTTCTTAGAAGTCCAGAGTTGAAAACACTGGATGACCACATCGTGAAGCTCAACAGCAAGCAACAGGACCATGAGACTGTGTCATGACTCTGGCGCGAGGTTTTGGTGGTGAAGACAACTTTTTATCATTTTTAGCAAGGACAAAGAAACAAAAACACGACAGTCGCATAGTGGACAAGGCCGAGGAACTGGAGCAGGGGCTGCTTAGACAGTGGAGAGCGGAAAGCTGGAGCCGGCAAGCGTCATGACACGATTACAGTTAGGCAATAGCGCAAATAAAGCTCTGGGAAGCGAAAAGCTGCAAGTATTGGCGAAGTAGGTCTATCGATTCACCCAGAACAATCCTACTAGCGAAATAGCATTGCTAAAGGCACTGACGTCGAAGTACGGACAAGTTAATGTGGCAACGGCGCTTGTATCTGCTAGGAGGCGTAATAATCCACGTACGAAGTTGATCGCGACAAAGTTGTAGGAACAGTAATCGCAGGACTGGCTGAAAAGCGGAATGTCGGTGGACGATGTTTTAAAGTTTTTGAAGATTAAAAACGTGGAAAACGTTTTGCCAGCCCACAGATGGACGTGCTGGGGCGCTTAGACAGTAGTAGAAAAGAATACTGGCTCGTGAAAGAGTTGTTTCAGTGCTAGCAAGGGGATTTGGCGGTGAAAGTCGGTTGGTAGAGATGCTTCTGGAGGCGAGGAAGAATCCGATCATGAAAAAGAAGGCTATGAGCCTTCAGAGGAGTCTATTTTGTGAAGTGGGGTTTCGATGGGCTCAGCGATTCCAAAGACATTTTGACCGTGAAGTTCAACGTAGCCGAGGCTACTGCTTCTGGTACCCAGAAAATGGTGGCTCTCCAGCTCGAGAAGTATTTCAACAAGTTGTTTCGGGTGAAAAACCTGATCAGATAAGCTAGCTGTTTGCCTGCGCCACGCTCGCCAACGGCTTGTTTTTTCTGCTGAGCAGAGCAGTGTTCCCCCATGTTAACCTTCGTGCCACAATCCACTTGTTTCCACTTTCCATCATGTTTCGAATCATCAGAGCGAAGAGATACCGGCCCATTTGTGGACAAGGTCGGCGACGATAAGAACATTTCGGTGCTGGCTTGTACCATTGCGTTGCTGCATAGCGTTTCCGATCTCCGAGCCCTTTGTCTGGGCTTGTGCCAATAATGCCAATGATTTGGCGGCGTTTGTCAACGGTCTGAACGCTAACACCATTCGACCTTGGAAAGGCGAGCGAACAACCGCAGACACGCATGTACTAGAGACGACGGCCATGTGAACTCCATTAAGTCTGAGACGAGTTACGACGTGAACAATGAGATCGCGGTTGCCAACGCACCATGACCACTTGCATGCGGTAACCGGGTCAATACACTGTAACCACATGGACTCTTCCAATAAGCGGACTCAGTACCGTAACTGGTCCTTCTGCTTGAGTCACCATGGTGCACTGGATTAAAGTACCGATAGCCAGCACGGAAGCAAGCACCAAACGTCTTGGTCACGCCTTGTAGCTCACAAAAACAGCGCATCTTGATTCAAGGCAAACCGCGTAAGAAAAAGCTAGCAATGCGCATTTAGTGTTACTTTAGACAGCCTCTTCCGGTCAGCACGACAATGTAACCCCGCGGAGATAACTTCGAACGTAAGCCACCTTTCAATCACCCAAACCATGAGGTCACTCACGCAACTTATATCAAACTCTCGGTGCCTTTCGAAACACCCAGCGCCACAGCATGTTCCATTCACGCAGTTCGACATCGCAAAAGAAAGAGAAAATATATCAATCCGATGTGTTAGCAGGGCAGCCGTATTCTGGCATCCACTATCATATCGTACCATCTTCCAGGGTGAAAAAAGTGAATCGTCAGGTATCAGCGCTTCGTCTTGGTCTTCAGACTTCCTATCATAAGGTACTTTTTTCTCTCAGTTAGGACCTTGGTTGCCATCGGGAAGATCGCCGTTGCATCTCTGGAGTTGACGGTGGTTTGTAGCGGATATCCACACCCCACGATCCATCCTCTCGAGCGTAGTCTCGCGAGCGGGATCGGTGTCGCGGATCGTCCAGTGAAGGAGAACGTCGATACTGTCGGCGATCAGGCGAGGGAGAACGGTGACGGTAGTCTTTCGGGTTCTCTTTCGGATACGAGCTCACATATTCCTCGGGATAATCCTTGACGTACTCCTTTTTCACATACTCCTTCGCGTATTCCTTTGAGTGACGCCGAGATGATGAATGTGACGAGTGTCGGTGTGAGTGACGGGAGCGCTTCGGAGGCGGTGAAGCAGACACTGAGCGGGAACTGGACCTTGATCGGGATCTCGAACTGCTACGCGAACGTGAGCGATGTCTGCGAAAGTGTTCTCTCTTGGATCTCACTTTCCGGCTTCCACGATGACGATCATAGTCGCGACTGCGGCGGTGGGAATGAGGAGATGGCGATCGAGAAGGAGACCGCGAGTACGATCGCGAACGAGACCGCGACGATGAGTACGAGCGACGTCGAGGTCGACTTCCACGTCGTGATGATCGTGAGCGTGAGCGTGAGCGCGGTCTTTTCCCTTCGTAATAGCGCTCTTTGTCTTGATGATCTGGCCGCTCCTTTGAGTACTGGCCGTGACTCTCTCGAGGGGTGCTTTGAGGTTGATAACCATATCCACGATCTTCTTTTTGGTCATTGTGCCGACCAGAAACAAGACTGTCGCTCTCTCGCGGGGATTTCTGAGTTCGTCGATGACCGTAACCACGGTCTTCTCTCTCCACTCGGCCATCATAGTGTCGCTCAGACATAGAAGAATTCTCTCGAGGAGACTTGTGAGGCCGCTGATAAGCGCCGTATCCACGATCTTCTCTCGGCGAGTCGTAGTGTCGTTTATCTCGAGGAGACGTTGGCGGTCTCTGAGTGACGTACCCACGCTCTCCTCTTGTTTCTGCCGGATAGTGTCGACCTGTAGGGCCACCAGGCTTACTTCTTTCTCTCGTCTCCACTGGGTTGTCAAACTGCCGGACAGATTCAGAGTTCCCATTACGTGGCGGAGGCGGAGGGTGTGTGGGTGCACTGTGATGGCTTCCATTGGGCGGGAATCCTGGAGGTGGAGGAGGGATTCCTCCATTCGCATAGCGTCCGACATGAGGTGGTGGGGGAGGGAGTCCATACGCAGGACGCTGCGTCCCTGGAGTAGGAGGAGGTGGAGGGATTGGTCCGAGGTTCGAGCTGCGATTCCACTGAGGTCCTGGAGGCGGAGGCATCACGTGTTGCGGATGGTAAGGTGCTGATCCTGTCTGTGTAGATTGTACGCCACCCACTTGAGGTTGAGAAGTAGAGGCTGCAGGCTTCGTTCCAGCATCCTCATTATCAGATACTTCCATGGAGCTCTCGGACTTGACAGGTCGCAGCGATCCATCCTCGACTCCACCCTCAGACACAGTCTCGGCCGGTGCTTCCTGTTCTTTTTTAATCTCCAGCGACTGGCGCACTTGAAAGTCTCGTTCTCGGCGTCTACGCAGCGCATCCGAGCGCATTTTCTGCTCCGACTGTCGACGCTTCACAAAGCTCTGGATGGGCGGAGGAGCAAGAAACGTCGAACGCGCACGCTTCTTCTTCTCGATGCTATAGACTGCACCTTGCACGCGTATCTGCTCTTCAAACGTCAGTCCTTCGCTGTCGAAGAAGGTCTGGAATCGCTTCGCAATTGTCAGCAACAAGTCGGACGCTCCGTCGCTGTCTTTGTGCTCTTCCGCCTTCTCCGTCCACTTCAACGCTCTCTCTCGCTCCGATTTGATAGCGTTCCAATCGAGACCAGACACATCAGTCACCGCGTGTGCTTCCCTCTTATCAGCATTGGATTCTTCATCCCCACTGTCGCTATTATCCGAGACCAGAGAACTCTCTCCGACAGCTTGCAGTTGCTTACGGATTCTCTTATAATCCGGCATGTCGTCGTATTTTAAAGACTGCAGATAATCCATCAACTCCAGCAACTGCGCTGCACCTGGAAGACCCTCAACCAACAGGCCTGGGTTGGCTTCAGTGTAGTGTTCCTTAAGACGAAGCACAGTCTGCCGGTTCTTCAGCTGTGCGTCGGCTGCCCAGGGCAATTCTCCGCGCAAAAAGTCCATGACGAGGTAAAACCACGACCACAGATCGTCCTTAGGCCCCAATTCCTGGCGACGATGCGAGCTCAGCGACGCGTACATGGACGTGCCTCGAAACTCCGCAACTTGGCGAGCAGGCAGCACTTGTCGGTCTTCTCCTAAGTGCTGTCTTGATAGCCCAAAGTCAATGATATAGTAGCGCTGCTGCTTCGTCGGATTACGCTCTGCAAGCGCGCTGAGTGCAAAGTTGGACGCCTTGATGTCTCGATGAACGTACCCGTGGCGATGGAAGGCTTCGATGCAGTCCAGCATCTCCAGTCCCACTGAGACCGCTTTGGCCAATGGAACGCCGTGGATCGAGTCGGGCGACATCCTCAGCATCGACATGCTGTCTCCCAGCAGCTCCATTACCAGCACGGTGCTGTCTCCATGCTTGCCGTGATAATAGTATCTGCACACGTAGGGACAGTCCTGCAGACTCTTGAGGATCAAGCTCTCCCACTCTAGCACAGGCTTGAGGGAGCTGGGCGCTTCCACTTTTACTGCAACTTTATCTCGACTCTCGATTGAATATGCCGAGTAAATCTGACTGAATGTTCCCTGAATTATAAAAAATAATTAAATAATGTTAGAAACTAGTCAAATAAAGGAAAATGAGCACTCGTACCTCTCCAATTTTCTCTCCAATCTTCCATTTCTCCGCGATCACTTCACCAGCCTAGAAAAAAAAATGTTAGTCCAATAGTTATAAAATAAAGATCTCTTCATGCGCTTCCTCTGTATCTGTCTCCCTCATTACCAGTAGAATATTCTTGTTGAGAGGCTCCATGGGCGACGACGCTGCTCGCATCATGTTTATCGTTTTCGGTTTGGCTCCGACGCGACTACAGAAATCTTTCCTTTGATTGGAGCGCGTTCTCGACGTGTAGGGGGACTTATCGACCGCTCTCTGCGCGCTGATACGACGAAGAGGACACTGTCGACCTGCTGCTGTCCTTCAAGCGACGCTACAGGGCCTAGGGAGACGGTGGTGAGGACCTCTGGACGCGGTCAACCACTCGAGCAATAGCGATCTGCCGATTGAAAAATGGCGGGACACGACGATTTTTAACGTTAACACGCGTTATTAAACGTTAAATAGCATCTGGTTAGATGGTGTATGAAACACAATTTTCATGATGAGAGAGAGTTTTGATTACCACTGCGTGATGATTAGTTTTCGCTATGATATATATGTACCTAAAGATGCAGAATAGAAAATGTGGAATTACGCCTCAGCTGTGGCGGGTTCCTCCGTGTCCTCCGTTGGCACGGGGCCGGGGGATACGCGCTTGCCGGACTCGGTTTCGTCGACCTCGTCGTCGTCGGCCGGCTCGTTCGGGTTGGCGGTACGGGTTGACGCACGCTTGGCCGCACGGGCAACAATAGCCACGGCAGCAATAGCTCCGACACAGCCTGCGACGGCGGCGCCGATCTGTTCCTTGCTCAAGATATCGGCATTCGCTTCGCTTGCAATCGACTGTGTGGACGTCTCAGCCACGGTGTTGTCCGTCAAAGCCTCAACGTTTGTGGCGCCCGCGATCGAAGTGCATTCGACGAAAGCAGCGGACTGTTCCGACTCGCTTACCTTGCAGAAACGGCACACACTGTCGATGCAACCGACACCGCCGGAGCTGCACGAAGTGTCCGTGACGATCTTGATGCCGACAGCTGCGTCACCTTCGGACGCGGTCTGCGCGCAGGTTTCGCCCGACGGTGCCTCAGTGGGGGCATCGGTGGCAGCATCCGTGGGAGCCTCGGTAGGTGCTTCTGTCGGAGCCTCAGTAGGGACCTCAGTTGGAGCCTCAGTGGGCGCATCAGTTGGTGCCTCGGTGGCAGCGGAGGCAGACGTGTCAGTGCTGGAATCCGAGGGGCAGTCTACGAACGCGGCTGACTGGGGAGTCTCAGAGGTCTTGCAGAATCGGCAAATGCTGTCAATGCAGCCAGCGCCACCGGAGCTGCACGAAGCGTCCGTGAAGATATTAATTCCAACTGCGGCATCACCCTCAGAGACGGTCTGTGAGCAAGTTTCACCCTTCGGGGCTTCCGTGGGCGCATCGGTAGGAGCATCCGTAGGAGCGTCTGTCGGGGCATCGGTAGGAGCGTCGGTAGGAGCATCAGTTGGGGCCTCAGTGTTTGCATCCGTGGCAGCAGGAGTGGACGAAGAAGTCGAGGAGCAGTCCACGAAGGCGGCAGACTGAGGGGTCTCAGAGGTCTTGCAGAATCGGCAAATGTCGTCAATGCAACCAACGCCGCCGGAGCTACACGACGAGTCCGTGACAATGTTGATGCCAACTGCAGCATCACCCTCCGACACGGTTTGAGAGCATGTCGGTCCACTCGAGGTCGCAGTCGTAGCATCCGGAGGTGGAGCTTCGGTAGTCGCGTCAGGCGTAGCTGTGGTTGCTGCCGGTGTCTCTGCGTCCGTGGAGTCGGAGTCATCCACCGATAGATCACCAACATCAGAGTCCGAGTTATCTACGACCGGTACATCATTCGAAGTCGAAGCATCAGTTGAGAACTGGGCGCAGTCCACGAACGCGGCAGACTGCGGGGAGGTCGTCACCTTGCAGAAACGGCAAACATCGGTCACGCAGCCAATGCCACCGGAAACGCACTCCCGATCGTAGACAATGCTGATGCCGACTGCAGCATCGCCAACCGAAGGCGCAATAGTGCATGTATCGGGTAGAGGGGCAGCTGTAGTGGAACCAGGGCTGGGCGTCTCTGTAGTCGCAGCCGGCGCATCGTTCGAACCGGCTGGAGCCTCTGTCGTGGCCACGGGTGTTGATGTGGTTGCCGTCGGGGAGTCGATCACATCGAGTGGAGCTTCGGTCGTCGCCGACGGAGTCTCGCTCGGTGTTGCAGTAGTTCCGGCATTGGCGTCACTAGTGCCAAGGAAGGAACAGTCAGGGTAAGTTAAGGACTTGACCGTCGTCCTAATTCGGCAGAAACGGCACAGGTCGTTGATGCAGCCCAGGCCGCCGTCCTTGCAGGTAGCATCCGTACCGATACTGATACCGACCTCAACGTCGCCAGCAGGAGGCACTAGGGTGCAGACATCCTTGTCGGCGCTGCCGTTGCTTGAGCCACTCGCTGGAGTGTCAACCGGTGCATCGGTTGCTGAACCAGCACTGCTACTATTCGGGCAATCCACAAAGGCCTCCGACTGCGCAGTCTTCGTCACCTTGCAGAATCGGCAGTGATCGTTGAAGCAGCCCAGTCCGCCATACAGGCAAGTGTCATCCGTAAACGCTGAGATGCCGACGGCTGCATCGCCGCTCGACACCTCGCAAGCACCTGCGGAGGGGACAAGAGGAGCCATTGTGGGGAACTCCACACCGAATGTCGTGCAGTTCTCGAAGGCGGATGATTGTGGAGTCTCCAGGAGCTTACAGAAGCGACAGTGATCGTTGTAGCAGCCAAGACCACCTGAAGCGCACGCGCTGTCTTCGACAACACGGATGCCAACACTCTTGTCACCGTCGGAGATCCCGCAGACTTCAGCAGACGACGAGCTTGAGCTGTCCGCGCGGACCGAAGGAATGACGCTCAAACTGAGTGCGCAGACTACCGCCGTCTTAATAAGGGCACGCGTTCCCACGCGGCTGTTGGAATACACCATAGTGTTGAAGAAAAGTCCGGCTTTGGAGAGATTTGGTCGAGGTGAACTGCACTCGAGGAAGCAAGTTGAAGAGTGAGGCTGCAGAGCTGTTGTTGTGGTTTACCTGCAGTGGTGACACTCATGGCTGAGATCGGTTACGGGGTTTATTAGCGTTGGCGACTGGCACATTTTTGGTGCCGTCGGAAGTAACCAACCGCCTGCAACACCGGCTTCATTGGCAGCGAACGCATGGGAGGAGGTTCTATGCGATGGTGTACATTGACAACAACGAAGTAGATGTCCGTTTTGCTATGTCTCGTGTGAATTGCTCAACGCGGTGCGACCGAATCTTCAGAGCACAGGTCCAGGGCGAAACCTACGACAACCAGGTGAACCAGGATACGGGTAGAACAACCCGAGAACACGCGCCTAAGCAGAAGACAACGTAGCAGCAATGAGTCGAGGAGATCAAACGAGGAAACTAAAGTTCTCAACAGCTCTAATTCAGAAGTCCGAAACGTATTCAGTAATGCTAGTTTATTCATTCGAGATTTCTATGCTGATAACGAAAAAGTTGGATTATCTTAGGTGGATCTGTTGCGATCTTCAAATGTAAAAGTTGATGCACGTGCATTGAGACTATCGCTGCGAACATGATACTACTGGCTTATGAGCTTCCGAGCTTGTCTAAAATCAAGCTTAAATATCGTTCAAGGAGTCCTCCGAGTCGAAGTAGATCGAATCTGAATCCTCATCCGAACCTTCGTCAGATCCGTCCCAGTCTCCACTGTCGTCGATATCGATCGTCGACACAGGGGACTCTGTGGCAGCCACAGGAGCCTCCGTTAGCAAGTCCGAAGTATCAACATCCGTCGCAGGAGCTTCGGTTGGTATGGGGGTGGTCGTATCGTCAGCGTCCGAAGTAGAACTCGCCCCCGTGTCCACCAAGGGAGCTTCGGTAGGAGCATCCGTATCGTTATCCATTCCAGAGCTGGATGAAGTTACTGAATTGCCCGTCGTGCTAGCCTGTGGAGTAGGAGTGCTTGTGGCCGCGACTGTGCCTGCTGGGCAATCAACAAAGGCGGCCGACTGGTTCGTCGTCTTCACCTTGCAGAATCGGCATGTGCTATCAATGCATCCGATACCACCGAACTGGCACGTCGAGTCAGCGGTGATGTCGACGCCAACAGCAGCATCGCCCTCCGAAACGACAAGACTGCAGATACCCACAGGAGTCGATGTAGCAGGGTTATCGGTGGCCGGGGCGGTTGGAGGAGTCATTGTGTCGGTCGGCACGGTGGAGACAAGTGAGAAGCCGGCAATGGACGCGCACTCAATGAAGGCAGCGGACTGCACGGTGGTCGCAACCTTGCAGAAGCGGCACACGCTGTCGATACAACCAACACCGCCGGCGGCACAAGTTGCGTCACCAGTGATACTGATGCCGACAGCCGCGTCACCGGCCGACACTACTAGACTGCAGTCAGCCTGAGTGGCTGGCGTATTCGTGTTCGGCACAGACGGCGTCGAGGTTGGAACGTCGACTGGGGCTGCCGTTCGAGGAATGTAGGCCGAGACCGATGCACAGCTAACAAACCCAACCGACTGAGGCGTGCTAGTAAACTGGCAAAAGCGGCACACGCTATCGATACATCCGGCACCTCCAGTGATGCAGGTAGCGTCGGTGACAATGTCGACGCCGACAGCTAGGTCGCCGTCGGACGCAACTTGGGTGCAGGTATCTGAAGAGGAAGACACGACAGGGGCAGTGGTGGCTGGAGCCTCTGTTTCAGGCGTGTAGCCGTTGACCGCGACACAGTCGATAAACGCTTCAGATTGAACCGAGGTGATCGCTTTGCAGAAGCGGCACACATCGTTGATGCAGCCGACGCCGCCAGCGCTGCATGACAAGTCTGTGATAATGCGGATGCCAACTGCTGCGTCGCCACTCGATGCAGCAAGGTCGCATGTGGCCGACGTAGTGGAGCCCGGTGCAGTGGTTGCGACCGCCGTGGGAGCTGACGTGTCCGATGTAAAACCAGCAATGGACGAGCAATCCACAAACGCTGCGGACTGAGCCGTGTTCAGTACTTTGCAGAACCGACACAAGTCGTTGATGCAGCCGATACCTCCAGTGTTGCACGAAGCATCCGTTGTGATGTAAATACCGACAGCGATGTCTCCGGCTGCTGCAGTGATGCCACACGTTTCTTGAGTGACGGCTGGAGCGTTTGTTGAGATACCAGGAGTCTTGGTAGTAGCGACAGGGGTGTCAGTGACAGCAGGGGGCTCAGTCACAGGAGCCTCAGTCGTCGCGCTGGGTGTATCTGAAGTAGGCATTCCGGTCGTTGCACTCGGAGTATCGGTCGGCGCCTCAGACGTTGCATCGGGTGTATCGGCGGTAGTCACTGGAGTCTCAGTCGTTGCGAGAGGTGCCTCGGTCGGCGCCTCAGACGTTGCATCGGGTGTATCGGCGGTAGTCACTGGAGTCTCGGTCGTAGCGCTTGGCGTCTCAGACGGGATTTCAGACGGAGAGTTGGTAGCGTCCGCCGTAGCGGGTGGAGCTTCGGTCGTGGTGCTAGGCGTCTCAGTAGGTACTTCGGTCGGCGCGTCGGTAGCGTCTACCAAAGGAGTGACAGACGACGACGATCCACCATTGAGGGAAGCACAGTCGACGTAAGGTGCTGACTGCAGCGAGGTGGTAACCTTGCAGAACCGGCAGATTTCATCAATGCAACCAACACCACCAGAGCTGCACGACGGATCTGTGACCACGCTAATGCCAAATCCAGCGTCCTCAGCTGAAGCCATAAGTGTGCACGTACCGCTAGCTGTGGGAGCCTCGGTCACAACAGGAGCCTCGGTGGTCGAGACTGGCACCTCGGTTGACACTACCGGAGCATCAGTAGTCAATGTCGACCCGTCGGTCGAGACTACCGGGTAATCCGTAGCTGACGTTGATCCGTCAAACGGAGCACCAGTAGTCGATGTTGACCCGTCCGTTGAGACGATCGGAGCGTCGGTGGTCAATGTCGGCTCGTCGGTGGAGACAGCGGGGGAATCCGTAGTCGGTGTTGCCGTGGTAGCGATCGGCACTTCTGTCGGGATCTCCGTAAAAGCAATTGGGATCTCCGTTGTTGAGGCAGGTGTCTCGATGGTAGCATCCGGAGTGGGGGTAGTTGGTTCCGTCGTTGTCGGCGCGGCCGTAGGAATATCCAAAATTATGGTAGGTGCCTCGGTGACGGGCTCCACTGCAATAGGCGCTTGGGTGGTTGGAGCTTCAGTGACAGGCGCGACAGTGTCGGGATTTATTGGAGCTGCGGTAGCCGGCGCCAACGGGACGGTAACCGGGGCGCTGTACGAGCTGTCAAGACTCGAACATGCCATGAACCCGGCCGACTGGGGCGTTTCCGCCATCTTACAGTATCGGCAATGATCGTTGAAGCATCCGAGTCCTCCATTCAGACAGCCCGAGTCCGTCACCGCCGAGATTCCAGCCGTGACGTCACCACTCGACACCTCACAGAGGCCCTGAGTCACGACCACCGGCGTCGTACTCGTGAACGCGACGCCATAAGATAGACATGTATTCAGGTGCGACGACTTTGGGGTGTCCAGCACCTTGCAGAAGCGGCAGACTTTGCCGAAGCATCCGAGACCGCCGTTCTTAGCACACGATTCGTCTTTGATGGCGTAGACTCCATAGCTCTTGTCGCCGTCCGAGGCGATACACTGCTTCGAAACGACATTTTTCGCTTGAACCGAAGGCAACACACTCAGCGCAAGCGCACACAACGCAGCAGCTTGAACGACGGAGCGTACTCCACCGGAATACACCATTTCTCTCCAACTTTCCGCTCGTGAAGAAGACCGCAGGATGAAGAATGACACAGGCTACAGACCAGGAATGCCGAGTTTCTTTTTTTCTGTGCGAGTGACTTCAAAGTTTAAAAAGACCAACGACCCGATTTCATGGCCATGCAGCAACAACAAGCGGTTAAACGGACAAGAGATGAGCTCGAGTGAACTTCCTGTAATCAAACTCTAAAATAGGGTATTTGAAATGCATAAGCGTTTGACCGTTGACATGCGATGATATCATTTTGATGAGGATGAAACGATCAAGTGTAAGACAACAAGTCCGATAATGATAATTTTAGCAGGTCATTCGTACGCTGCATCGCATAACTTTAATCTACTGATCGGTAGAGCAAAGTAAAGCTACACCTCGCAACGTCCAGTGCAGCGGTCGATGGTCTCTTGATGCCAACGGGACCGAGAAAATATAGTGCTTGTCCGTGCGTCTAGCGTAACGATAGACGGGAGCTTCGTACGCTCCGTACGGACCGTGATCTTGAGCAGCTCTTGTCTTTTTGTGAGCTTTAGTAGCAGCCGTAACATACACTGCAGGCAGTGGAGCGAACAACCGTTTCGGTTCCTGCTCCACCAACGTCCCATCCGGTCGATTCCAAGCCGCACCGTCCAACATCAGTCCGTGTACGAGCACACCTTCGCGTGGCGGCTGCTTGATCTGCTCTAATCTCTCATAGTCTGTTACTTCACTGTAATACACCACATCGTCCAGCGCCCAGCGCTCACTCGCATGAGCTCGAGTTGACTCTTGCGCTACAGCCGTAAGGAATCCTTGCGGATTAGAGAACCCCGCTAACCAGAAGCTCGACGGCCGACCACGCTCTAACCATGCGCGTAACTGGGTTACTCTGTCAATAAGTCCTGTAATCCAAAGACCCAGTGTTCCAGCGAGCCACGCTTGCTCGTTCGCTACCCACGACGGAGGCACTTTGCCGTCTAAAATTGCCTGACTTGTCTCCCGTAACGAAGAGGTTAGCAGTACTTCACCCGCTAATGCACGCTGTGTCTTCACCAGTGACGCTCGGACGTTTTTAAGGACCGTTCGAAGAGCTCGAGCTTCTTGACATAGGAACAGATTAAGAGGAAGCTCTAATCCTCCACCGAGCACCTTGGACCGTAAAGATTGAGCCAACGCTTCTTCACTTAAAGCCTCTTCCCCTCCAGTTGGAAGAGAGGCCAATAATTCACGGATCTTTTGCTGGATAATATCCTCCCTGGTCTCGGATTTTGTCGCTGTACTTTCAGCATCTGTAGGTTGAGTATCGACGATAGTTCCCAATAGAGCGGTGACCTCCTTAACTCTATAAGTTAGGTCGGCGTTAGGGTGTAATCCGAACACCTCGGGGGAGTCGACACTCGGAAACCCGGCGATATATCGTTGATACTCTTCGATCTCCGCCATTGATGAGTCTGGTAGACAGTAATTGAACAATTGACCAGAGGACGAAGTGGCTCCTCCTGTTGATAGCTTCACTTCTGGGTTAAAGGAGAAGGAACTCCCTAACAGGGTCGGATTAAACCATGCATCACAGTAAGCGCGGAAGAGCCTTCGATCCAGCTCGTCTGTAATTCGACCACCGTAATGCACCTCGGCCACCATATACTGCACGGTGGGCCACGACGGTGACGGTGACGTATACAAATGACGCTCTAAAAAGCTTAGCGACGCACCCATATCACCAGCATTGAACTCGTACGGCACGCTAAAGCCTAACGGACCGAATTTCCTTCGCTCCACCACAACAGCATGTAAGAAACAGACCGCAAAGAGCAGAGATCGCCACGACGGAGTCTCAAGACGATCCAGTTTGTCTTGATCCACTAACACCGTAAAGCTGCGCAGTAAACCCGCTCTAAGACCAGCAGGTGGTTCGTTGGTCACCTTCATGCTTCGATGTAGCAATGATATCGGGAAATCCGGATGTGGTTCGGACGTTAAAAACAGTCGGAACTCTGGAGCACGCGCTGGAGTTACAGCAGCATTAGCGCTATTCGCACTGCTATTTGCCGTCGTTAGAGTCTCGGATAGGGTGTCCATGTAATTCAACCCTAAATGGCAATTCTGGAGCAGAACCCACGACCCATTCAGCATCGCAGACGCCACCGTTCTTGCTGCAACAGCCTCTTGTCCTTCTCCCATAGAGATCGTAGTCACACTCTGTCGTTTACGTCGCGCAAGCTGCTCAATAGACTCCGTAGGGTCCGCTCCAGGCGATAAGAGATACAGTACAGGTGTCTCCGCTCTCATCTCCTGGTACACGCTCTCAACTGTATCCGTAATAGGCTCAACATAGCGAGGTCCTAACGCAGGAATTCTGGATAAACTAACGCCTACAGCACCTTCAATAAACTCAATAGCTCGAATAAAGTCCAATACAGCTGGAATAGTGCGGTCCTCCCGTAACGAGCGCACTAACAACAGTCGATGGAAGTGAAGATTTGCTGTAATTGCTCGAGGATCAAACAGCAGTCCTTCATAATCTGGAACAGCCAGACGTTCTGGTTCATTGTCTTCAAACCACTTACGCCATATATTTTCACTGCGTTCCAGATCTCCAAGCAGGTTACGGAAATGAGGCTTTTCACTCGCAAGTTGTACAGCATTCAGCCACGCTCCAGTCGACATCCAGTTGAACGGCTTCGGTTGATCACTTGACAGTTTTCTGGATGCTCCAGCCTTAAGAAACAGCGTCACATCGGCCGGCGTCACGCAGTCTGCAGCTACGAGAATCTTCAGTGCGATCATAAGCAGGAAGCTGAGACGATGACGGTCGTACAGGCCTCGATTCACATAACGGAACACGATGTACGTTAGAGTTTCAATTATGTAACTCACTCGTTTCGACGCTAACGAAGAGCGTTCCGCTTCGTCGATAGCACGCACGAAGAGCTGTAAAAATTGGTCCAAAGACGTCTGGTACATGGCATTTACTGCAGCAAAATCCACGATACCGAAGTAAAGAACGGAGCCACGTGCAGCCACTGGACGGTAATGTTCCCGCTTTTCGTCAATCCCTCGCTTTACTTCCTCAGCGGCCAGGATCTTGTCGTTAACTTCGGTAGCTTTCGCCTTCGTATTGGCCAATACCGAGACGAGTTCGACATCATCCAGAAGATTGGCTTTACTAGCTGACAGTCGCTCTAATAGCAGTGCATCCAACGCCACAAGTGCTTTAGCGTTAGCGTTTAATTCACACTGAACACGCTCTAACTGCTCTTCCAGTGAGCGTTGTTCCTGACGGATGACTTGCGCTAATAGCTGCTCTTCCAGTCCTCTTTGAGTCACCGTAAAGTCCACCACAAGTGTACGCGCTTGCAGTTCCGGCGAAAAGTGTGGATTAGGCACTCGAGTGGTTAAATACAACGCGAATTCTTCGTTATACTCGCACACCCGGTCCATAATCTTGACGAATTTTCCTTTCGCGCGAACGATAAAGTTTTTATCCAGAACATTTGCCAGAAGCGGGTCCGGATCTGCGCCATCCACTCCATCGAGAACCAAAGCTTTGCCTTCACCCACACAATGTTCAAGAATCTCTCGAAGCTTTGAGCTACTCACCGATACAACCCCCATAGTTGGTAGACGTTCCGCTTCTCGACGAAGAACCCAAGACAAAGCTTGACCTTGAGGATCGATCAGTAAGGGAAAGCGTGGCGCTCGTGCCACTAACATACCGTTCTGGATAGAGAGCGGATCTGACGGCAAACCCTGTAGCTTCCAGTCACTAACGGAACCAGCATCTGCTAAGAACTCCTCGAGCGCTAAACCACGCGTTAACGGGATCGTAAACGGAGCTTTAGTTGCGCTATTTGGTGTTGGAATAGCGCCAAGTTCAGCTGGAATACGTTCACGCAGCAGTAAATCTCGATACTCCCGGTTAAATGGCCCACAATAACACAAGAACGTAGCAGCCAGAGCGCAATCTCCAACGAGATGTTGCTTCCTCTCCACGAATCGGTTCGAGTCTTCCGTCCATCGCACTTTTTCGCCTCCCAAGCCCCCGATAAGTGCTGTGGCTTGTTCCATCTTACGCTTCGTAGCTTGTGCAAACGCCTCGACTCGAGCTTTCTCGGCCATTTGAGTCTGGAAATCTTCCTGTAAACGAGTGAGTACATTCTGACATTTCTGTAGTTTATCTTCGGAGCTTTGAAGTCGCGCTTGAGCCGCTTCAAACTTGCCCTCTGCAATACGTAGCGCCTCTAGTTTTGGTTTAACCACTTTGGACGCTTCGTGGTACATACTCATCGCTTTAACCCAGCAGAATAACCCTTCTGCGGCCTTTGACGCGTTTTTCGCGACGGGAGCGCTGAAACCGGATAATTCCATGTACGGCGCCATCAACTCCAGCGTTTCATCGTTCATTTGGTCTTTTTGGTGTTTCGAGAAGTAAAAAATGTTCTGTAAAAACCGCGTATCAGCGAGCATACCGGACTTGGCGAGCTGGAAAGAATCCATCAGGAAATCGCACGTGTGCTTCTCTTTACCCACGCCCAAAGTCACTGGAGCGCGTTCAACTTTGAGCAGTGGAGCCATCTGTAAAATAGCTACACAGTCGAAGATAAGTTTGATGATATCACCCGGTTTTGCCAACTTTTTCAGCTCATTCAAGTCATTCGGACGGATACTACTGGCTGCACGCTCAGCCTCGTCCAAGAAAGGTTGAGCGCGCTTAAGATCCTCTTCTGCCGCTTCTTTCTCGGCCAAGATAACTGCAGCATCGGCTAGACATTGTTCTCGTATTTGTTGGACGATATCGTTCTCCTTTTTAGCTTCAAGAGACTTCACTTGCAGCGTCTCCAACATCTTATTAGCTGCTGCTTCAGCCACCACGAGCTTAGCTTCTTCTTCCTTTAATACCACCTTCATCTTCTCCACATCTTGTGCTCCTTGTCCTAATTTTTGCAGTCCCAGATTCACTGCACCCTCCTGATGTCGAACTTCACTCAACTTTTCACCATACAGCTCCTTATATGTCGATAAAAAGCTTAAAAAACTTCTCGGGGTTTGAACCACGCGTCGTCGTCGACGTGTAAAGTATTCGTCGCTAACCTTCTCCACTGCTTGATGCATTCGGCCCATTTGTAGTATCAACGCGTCTTTAGTAGCCGGTGGAGTTTCCAGCACGAATTTCTCGAGGTATCCTTGACTTACAGCGGTGAGTGCCTCCTCTGGCCACGGTAAAAACCAGTTGATAGTGCAGCCATTCACTAAATGCGGGAATTCGCGACAGCGGTCTGCAAAACGTGCACTAACCGGAGATAAACACAGTACAACGTGGAGGTTTCGTCGTACTCGGTCATGGAAGAAGCGCGTTAAATTCTGCAGCGTATCCGCTCGATCCGGACATTCTCGCTGCATAGCACCCCGTAATTCGCTCGCCATAGCGACTAATTCGTCTCTAGGGAACAGTCCAGGCACTTCTCCTGTCGCTAATAGAGCGTTAACTTGCTCTAAGAAGGAATCATCCTTAATATCGGCTTCAGTAAGAAGGAATACCACACCTTTTCCAGCTTGTCCAGCAGTTTTACAGAGCCCACGTAAATCGTCAAGAAATGCGGATAAAGTGTACGCTTTAGTGACCGCTAGTTGACACAATTCATGGCCACTTAGCGCAGCTGCAAGACGCGCTAACGACTGTTTACCGGACCCTCCAACACCCACAAGCATCATGTTGCTTTGAGCTAGTCCAAGTGCACGCGTTAACCGGGCCAGATGGAATAAAGCCTCCTCGAACAGGATAAGCGACGGTAGTGCACGTCCAGGGTTTTCACGGTTAAACTGGGATAAGAGATGTTCCACTCGAGAACGCAGTAACTGTATACTGGATACGGGTTCGTAATTACGGGGCATCTCCCCTATAGGTTCGCCAAGTTCATCAACGGGCGGATCCTGCAAGAAATCAACGTAAACCATGGTTTGCCGCATGTTTACATTGGATAGAACGGACTGGCGTTGAACACCATCGGGTGTAGGCGTTGATACTTTATCTTTCCCTCCAGAACTTGATACTGGGGGCAGATTCACCGACTTCGTCACCAAACCTTCAGCGACAGCGTTTAGTTCGTCCCGGAATCGCTGTTTATCTTCGATCGAGACCAGTCTGTCGCCAAATACACGCTCGCTTTCGTGCTGCCATAGTCGAATTAGAGGTTTCTCGGACGTCGTCGCGGTCTCGATAGGTGCTCGTAAAATACCTTGGAAACTTCGACTCAACTCGCGTAAACTAAACACATAATGGAACTTCTGTGGCGTCGGAGGCATCGCACGACGTAACCAAAGCCAAAGTTGTACGGATGCAGCAGCTAGACGAGAGATCAGGTCGGATAGAGACTTTTTTGGGATTCCAACCGAAGATATCGAATTATCTTCGGGAATAAATTTCCAACGAGTAAGTTGAGCGAAAATCGCCTCCGCAACGTCAGGCGAAGGAGGCAGCAGGTTTAAAATGAAGAAATGGCGTTTAAGACGTGCCGGTGCGTCGTTCTTACCGCCAATTGGTAGACCCATAGCTGCTAGGAACCGTAACCCTTCAATGACCTTAATATCGCCGCGTTTGTCTTTATCCAGGAAGCACAGCGTACGAGTCTCCACGAGTTGTCGAACAACTTCAAGAGTAGGTTGGTCACCCCATTCATTAAGCGCTGGCATGGACAGATCGTCCATGAATAGAGTGAGTTGTTGACCGTTAGAGGGTCCAAATGTCTTTCCTCCACGCTTCTCCAGATCGGCCTCCACTGTCGCTTGAAAAGCCCCACCTAAAGTCGCCCCTGAGAAGATAAGCGTCCTAGAAATCCCCTCTCCGTTCACATTATTATCGAAGAAATAACGCACAAGTGTGGATTTCCCCGTGCCTGGTTCACCCACGAGTAAGACGGGCAGTTGGCTTGCTTGAAGATGTTCCAGTAAATGCAGCGAGCGAGCGGTGTCTGTCGTAGGGATAATAAGCCGCCCGACATTTACAACGCCGCTTGATCGCGTTAGAAGGTTCTCACAAGTGTCCAGTGTCCATTTCTCCCACTCGAGTGTCGAGGGATGTAAGAAGTGATCGAATACAGTTAGAGTCTGGTTAGAGTTAGAGGACGATGCTCTAACGCCTTCTTGACCCTCCTGAGATCCTGCAGCAATCGACGACGGGAACGTCGTTGCTGGAGCCTTTTCAATCAGATAATGGTGGAGTTTCATACGATCTTCAAGATCCAATACACCTCCAATAGCCCACGATAACGCGAACGCGAACAGCCTCTCTAACTCTAACTCTAAGTCAGCCTGGGAGTTCTCACTAAGCTCACTGCGCTCTAAAAGAGACTGTAACAGGTTTAAACACGACTGGATCAACGCCACTCTCGGAACAATCATAACAGGCCGACATCTTCGAGCCAAGAACTCGAACAGTTGTCCTGAACCTGTTGTCTCACCCACAAATGCCCGCATGCTTCGAGTTAAAGCTGCACGCTGTGAGTCTGGTCGCATACGCAGCCATCGTTGAGCCACAGGCTGCCAGTCGAGATCCGTATCACTAACGTAAACGATTCCTGCTCGTGAAACAGTGGCGGGTGAAGCATTACGCAGGTCTTCGACTTCAAATAGAAGTTTACAGTTGTCGGTCATCGGTAACCGATCGCCATTCGCTAACGTAAGCAGCTTATTGTCGTCCAATACGGTATTCAGGTTCTCTATCCAAACTGCATCCACGGGTCCATCACAGACCAACCAGGACACATCTTTACGGGATCTATCGTTAAATTTGGCCCAAATGGCAGCGAATACGCCATCCACCCACTCTCCAGACAACCGATCGGTCTCTCCAAACAGCTCTTCAGCACGCACAGCTTTAGGGTTTAACCGTACTTGCCGGTGTGGAATACGGGTGTGACACCCTAACGCAGTCTGTAACGTCCGTAAAATCTCAGATTTCCCTGATCCCGCAGGCCCCACAAGCGCAATTCCGTGACGTACAAGTTGGGTGTCGTACAACTGAGTCACCTTTGCACTCCAGGTCGTTGGCGGTGGCCAACACTGTGATTTTTGCAGTACATCCTCAACAGCTGCCGCAATTTCGTTAGTGTTGTTCCCTCCAGACGGGGTAGGCTCCACACCTGGGAAGATATCGCGAAGTAAAGATAAAAAAATAGGTACATCGGCAGCCACGAGTTTGGAGAGATTCATATCCCGTAAGGTGGTCATCATCAGCAATTCTTCACTTGCAAGGAGGTTATCGCGCTTAGTAGCACCCGCTGACCGTAATACAGACAGAATGTTACGCAACCCGAAGTCATAGTGACGTTGTTTCGATAGCTGGCCCTCACAAACACCATACAGCGTCTTGAACTTACGAGCGAGTTCTGCAAAGGCGTCGTAGCCTACCGCACATAGCCTGACTTTCATGATAATCTCACGATCCGGGACCATCATAGAGACTCCTCGGAATAGGGCTTTAAGGTTTTCTGGAAGCTCCTGGCGTCCTTGATAACCTGGATTCATAGTGATAAAGTATGCTGCGTCTGTGTGTAGTCCGATAGGTAATGGATCTCCTGGGAACGTGAACGTTGAGGCTTGTACACGCTTAGCGTTTGTGATCGCAAGAACCTGTTGAGCTACTACCGAAAGAACCGGTAACTCGATGCGGTTGAACTCGTCAAAGCAGCCCCATAAACCTCCTTGACAGAGCCCCTTAAAGATCTTGGCCATGTCTGAATAGCGTTGCTGGTCTGTGCAGTTAGTGACGATCACATAGACGCCAAGACTTCGACCTAGATCTTTCACCGTTTCGGTCTTTCCTGTGCCCGCAGGACCAGCAGGAGCGCCCCCTAAATGCATACCGAGAGCTTGAGAAAGAGTGATGTAAGCGCGGTCAGTTAACGGTGTGATCACCAGTCGCTCTTTACAGCCCAAATACTCGAAAGCGTACTTGAAATCCACGTCACAAATAGAAATCAAACAGGCATCTGGACCCACTGAATCGAAAGCTCCTTGGCTGCCTACACGCCAATAGAAACGTGCTTGTTTGAGCCATTCAAAGTCGCTAGCATCCGAAAGTTTCTTCTCCTTGTAAAGACGACAAAGTTCCAAGAAACAGTCGCGCTGATGGACTTGAATAGTGATCAGCGTCTCCACTTTAGTGCGCGTAAGTTTCGTACCCAAATCTGTAAGACACCAAGACGATAATTCCGACAACATTGTCCCATGCTTCTTGGCAGTCTGTGCCATAATCCCTTTGGTAGTTCGACACCGCTGCAGTGCGTCCTGACACTCGGCAGTCCAACTCAATTGAATGCCTAGAAGTGCAAATTGTGCACATGTTTTACTGACAAATTCTCGAAGGGAACCGGACGAACACTCGGCCGCAGCTTGGCGACATAAAGTCTTCAAGGTACGTCGCATCTCCTTCTCTAACATCCCCAACCAATCCTCAATATTCCCGTCAGGAAGCACAGGCTGCACCAGTGAAATCGTTTCTTCGTCGTTACCCACTAGTGACTTGATTTCAACAATTTTACGTTTTGTGTTTAAACTCGTCGTGTTTGATGAAACTTTCGATTCCGCTGCTGACATGGGTCTTTCGTGCACGACTTGGCTGATACTGTCGAAGATTTTCTCGTAGTATTGCTGCACCGCTGCAGGGTCGGATCCTCGAGACAATATAAGCAATAGAAGCGGGTTTGAAACAAAGTAAAAACGCGGAAACTTCTTGCGTTTTTGCTCGAGATACCCCTCCAAAGACTTCTGGCATTTCTCCAGCTCCCCAAACAGAGAAGGAAGCGTGCTGCGTAACAATTCATTAGAGCAGCAGGATACAACGAAGCCCACTTCGGCAGCTTTACTCATGACCTTTAGCCAATCTTTATCGATTTTCGCAAATTTTTTCGCCTCAAGTGGCATTTGTTTCGCGATATCTCCACCCGTAAAAACCGATTCCAAAGACATCCATAGCGTCTGTACTTTAGCCCATAACTCCAACACATCGGCTGTATCGGAGAGTTGTGCCAGCTTGGCTTGTACGCGGTCTTTAAAGAACACCACATGCCTCATACTCAGTATAGCTTGAAGCTGTAACTGCCCTTCCTCGAGGTCTTCGATTATCTGACCGTAACCCTTAAGTACAGGCACATTACGTTGTCTCCACTTACTGAACTCGAACGTTGTACCAGCCCACCGATCCGTGAGATCGCGAAGTTTGTGTTCAATTTGCAACTGCTTTTGTGCACTTTCACAGATATATTCCACGTCTTCTTTCCAAGTGAGAAGTTTGGCGTCCAGCACGTCTTGGAACTTGAAAGACTCACTGTCGTAGGGCAGTCGTTGGCCGTTGCAAGCCTTGATGATCTCCTCCCAATGACGGGGTTTAATACTCTCCCTCGTCAACTCTCTAACGATAGGAAGCATCTCTAAAAATTCCGTAATGACCTTGCGTAAAATACCGTAAGCTTCCCATTCCCACAAGTTCTTAGGCATCTTCTTACAACGCTGATCATAGCCAGCGAAACAATCGCTCATACGCTCCACGTTCGCTCCAACCTGAGCCCATGAAATACCGCGGAACTCCTCCATTGTCTTCTCGACATCCATATAGAGACCGTAAAGCTGGTCCAGTAACGCCATCTCCTTTCGAGTGCGTACAATTTCGGGATATTCGGTCGGTCTCATACCGAATAATTCCTCTCCAGCAGAGAACACTTCGAGTTTCCGTTCACGAATCCCCAGTAAATCTTTGAATCTCTTAAGACGTTCCACCGCCTCTGCAGGTTCAAGACCAGATACCATCGGGCCATTGGCTTCATAGTCGCCTCGGAACACTGTAACATCAGCTTGGAAGTCTTTAACGTCTTTAATAAGCTGCTTCTTAAAACCTCCCTGCACCTCTGACAAATTATCCGTCACTTCTTCAGCATAGTCCACAAGCTTCCGCCATGAACCGCGCAGTACGCTCTTCTGGTCCATTTCTTCTTTATCCATGTACCCTCCAGGAAGATAATGCTCCAGCATATCGTACATATCAGCGATAGGATTCAACTCCATCTCAATAGCAGACTCTCGTTCACGCACTTCTTTTAAAACTCCCATAACGAATCGAAGAGTATCCAGAGTTTCCACGCGAGCATTAAGTTTGGAAGTCGTTGTCCGGATGTAATCTGTGAGGTTAAACAGCGCTGTTCTCGCCTGTTGATGCACTTTATCCGAGTACTGCACTTTCCATTGACGACACTCGTTACGTAACTGTAACTTGAGGTTTTTAGTGTTTAGAGACAACACCGCAATGTTGTGTACCGGTGCAATTAACGAGATCTCGGCCTCCACTGCCATGAAATGACGTAGCTCCGTCTCAAAATCCTGAATCATTGGATTACGCTGCATGAACTGGTTGTACCGGAACTCCATGTCTTCTTTCCAGAGCCAGTCATATTTTTTAAACGCTGAAAGGTACTCGTGCACTTGGTTTTTCGTTCCATGCAACGCTCCAGTGAGTAGAATCGCCACTTTGATGATCTCTGTATCACATCCAAGACGTTCAAATAGACTGGTTCGCATAGATTCTGGAAATATACTCTGTTGGCCCCACTCGTACAGACTCTTGGAGCAACGTAAGACTGCTACAGCGGATCGGTTGATAGCTTTTTGGATATCATCGAGCGACGGACTCAACCGTACAGAAGGCACCGATAACTGAACATCCACCTCGAAGAACGGGCGTTCCAGGAAGAGAAACCCCGTGCCTGCTTTCGAGCAGACGCGCTTCTTGATCGCGTCCAAAGACTGCTTCGTACAGGTCACTAATGAGCGGTAAAAGAGGTTCCGGTAAAAGCTTCTGAAGGTGTCCATGGCTTCTACGTCACAGGATACCGTATTCGATCCAGATGCAGTGGAGACGCCACTGTTGAGTCCAGACGAGTTCGAACCGTCTAAATTGTACTCACAGATAAGGCGAAGCACATCTTCCACTGCGTTTTCAATCTCCACGTTCTTGGCTGCTAACTGTTTCGTGACATTCGCCACGTGCTTTTCTTGCATGCGTACGAAGTCGTCAAGAGCGAAGGATTGGTCTGTGGGTAAGTGTACAAGAGAAGCCTTGGATACGATCACCAGGTTCTTCTCGATACGGTTCTCAATAGCGTCCAGAACACTTGAAATGAGTTCCTCAAGACGCTGTAACGCTGCGTGGGCCACCGCAGTATATGCGTCGATATTCATACTCGTCCACGTTAGAGTAACCAGTCCAGGGCGTAGTTTCTGCTGCAGATCTTCCAAGTGAGGACGCAGCAACACTGCTGTAACTGGAATGATCTTTGCCGTAACTCGGTCATATTCATGCAGGGCATAGCTCAGATCGTTGTAGTAGGCCTTGAATTTGTCTTCTTGTAGCATAACCATACGGGCATTCTCGGGTACTTCGATCCCCATCCGATCAAGACAACGAGCTTCGCGAATAAGTTGCAGAATTTCTTTGTCAAAATTCACAAAAAGTCGACCAGTTTCTGGATGCCGGATGATCAGAGTAGCATGCAGACCAGCTCGCGCGTTCTCCACCGAGCGGCACCACGCTTCGTACCACAAATACTCGAAAGCTACGAGTGTACGCGCCACTTTGTTGTAAGTTTTTATAATTTTCTTGGAATCTTTTGTAGAAAGTACGGTGGGGTTGCTCTCGAATTTTCGCATTGGCTCCTCGATACGCCGTAATAAATGACGCGACCAGAGAATATTCCCTGCCACTGGAGGTAAGTTACGTGCCACCGGGGGATCATGTCGATGACGTTCATACAATTCCTGTACGTGTGAGAGATCGAGACCGTAATTGTGGAAAATTACAGTGAACTTAGAGTCTAAGTCGCTCCGTAACGTCTCGCGCTGTAAAATCTGCTGAAACTGTTTAAGTAGCTGCAAGGACTGCTCGATACTTGTGATGGAGTCGAAGCTCACGTTAATAAACTGCTGCAACGAGGCCTCGAGATCAGCAATTTGAATGTTAAATTCCACGTAGTCACGGTCAAATTTGTTATTGTGGAAATCCAGTAGATCGTGCTTGTGAGCGCGAAATTCTCGGATAATCGTGTTGAACGACGCCAACAACGCATCCATTCCTTCCAGCGAATGCTGAGCCAGAGCACGAAACTGGTGGATGGTACTGAACATGTCGATGAGCTTCACAAGACGGCGACAAAATAGGTCAAATTTTCCGAAAATTTGCGTTTCACTGAAGTCGAATTGCTTCCCTTTCGGCATCGTCAGTAATTTATCTTTCGTGAGTCGATATTGTTCCTGGTACGCTTCGTTAAGTTTTAAACAGGCCTCCAATCCAACAAGTAGCGCCTCTGGATCTTTCTCCCAAATAGCCTCGGGAGGTTCGCGACCGACCAAGCTGTTCTTACACAATGTGATCATTTGGTTCGTGATCTTCATGAAGAGCTTCGTCATACGTTCTGTAGTATTGTAGTAACGAGCAATAGTGTGGATCATCTTGACAGAGTTCATGAGAGCGGGTAGTGCGTCTATCACAGACGTCGGGGTGCCAGTGTACAATGGCTCAATGAAGCGCTCTAATGTAGCGAGATACTTGACGTTGTCCTTGGCTTCGTTCGACGCTTCCGTGATATTCGTGTCAATTTGTTTCCACTGTCGTAACAATTGTGCAATTCCTAGTTTATCTGTCACTCCGTCCTGTAATTTCGAGACAACATTGAGCACTCCAGTGACCATTTTACACTCTTTGGTCTTCAGCTGTTCCGTGATCCCCATGAGTCTTTGTAGTCTTCTTTTCCAGTACTCCAGCTCAGTAGCAGGACCAGCTTCGTGCGATTCCCAACGTCCTTGATCGTTATCTTCCAGATACGCCTCTGTCTGTTTACACCAGTCCTTAACTAGCTCCACAAAATGCTGCACGGCCCCGTCATCCGACGACAATTTCGACAAACTTCTGGAGTCCGACGTGTCGTATCTTTTATCTGGTTTACGTAAATCTAGTCCCGTATTCATGGCCTTGAGATTTTCCTGCACATCTGTAACAAAACCCTTTAAGCCCAGCATAAACTCATTGCGAGTGTCACTCTCCGCTTGGCCCCATTCACACTCTTCTCTTGCTGTCAACATGGGCACAAACAACTGTGCCAAATGAGTCTCAATTGAGAGCAACACGGACGAATCCAGTACTCCATAAGTGAGTAAATGGTCGTTAGCCACTGCCGGATCAAGAGGCAGTCGAGGCGTCGAGTCATAGGACAAATTTTCGTCCAGAGTCTCTGGACTTTCGTCCTTGTTAACTTGTCTTTCCTCTGAAGCTTCGGGCACCACTTTGGCGAAGAAAACAGCGCGTCCTTGAAGTGTTTCGTCCAGTCCGTCCGTCACGAAGAGCTCTTTGCGCTGTAATTCCACCGTAGACGGGTTTGCGGCGCCGTCGCTTTCGGTAGAACCTTTTATCTGGTAGTAGAAGAAGATTTTGGTGGGGCCGTCGGCTCGGAAGAAGCGCGAGAGCTGATCCATGATGCCGTTGCCCCGAAGCAGCTCCTCCACTTGAGACTCGTCGTGGAAGCCCAGGCCGAGCTGCAGCCGCTGGATCATCCAGCGGTGCCGAGCCTGGAACGCCATTGGAGACTGTTGGGGTGTTGATCCAAGTGATCAATCGCGTCTCTTAAAGATATTTTTGCGACTTACTTAATAGTGCATGAATTCTAGAATGTTGTGAAATTTGTTCTCCTCAAAAAAAATAAAATAAATAAATGCAACTAGAATCGCAGACGTTTCAAATTTAGGCGTTTTAACTGATGTCGTTGACGATTGTTGCTTCCGTGCTGTTGTACCAGCAGGGTTCCGTAAAATATTATTTATATGGATTTTCTCCTCTAACGCGAATAGATACCTGCATGGTGCTTAGTAAATCTGCAAATAAATAACTTGTATCCACAACCATGGCAAATAAATATTAAGCAGCAAAGTGAAATCATGTTACTAAGCCGATGTGCTGTCATATTACCTAGATCACTGCGTCAACGGTAGTGACGTCCCAGTAGCTGCTGTTAATCTTCAGAAACAGCAACATCTCCAACATCAGCGGTGACAGTCGGTTCCGTTCGTATCGCATTATCATGCGAGCCATGCTGAACAGCCGTTCCACCTTGTTCGACGTAGGTGGTATGGCTGACAGCATCACATACGCACTTGTTTCCGCTTGCACCTTTCTGCGTTTGAGAATTCTGTCTGCGAAGCCCAGCTTGGTCGGGTCCTCTTCTGGGCTCCTGCTCCTACTGGTCATCTGACGAAAGGGCCTTAGGGCCTCTTTCTCAGCCCGCGACAAGTCGCTTTCATGTCCTCCAAGGACCTTCACAACACCAGATTCAAAATCAGGTGAGTGCACGATGTCTGCTGTGGGCGCTAAAAAATAAATACATATTTTCAAAAAAATAATGTGAGCTAGCAGCACTTAATAATAAATAAGAACAAACACTTACCGATATAGTTCGTAAAACTTGGCTTGATCTCAAGCAGCCCGTCAAGAAGGTCGCGGGCGTCCAGAAGATTTAAGCCCTCCGATTGTAGTTTTTTTGAGATTGACTCGACATCGCTCATTTCGTTCAGCAGAGCTTTTAGCCTGCGGTTGGCGGCCGGCGACGGCATCAGCTCGACAAGCTCTTCATCATTCACGTTAATAAACTCGCGCAGCTCAAAGTAGCGCGCTAGCATCGCATAGGTCGACCCCCAGCGCGTTTGCTGACGTAGTTTAGGGCGGAGAGGCGTCTTCAGTCTTGATAAAAATATTAAAATTGAAATTAATAATTAATAATTCCATAATTAAAAAAACATTGATGGATAACTTACCTCAACTTGGCCGCTTGGGTCAGTGTCCTCAGGCGCTTCATCAGCGACTGGACTTGCTCGAGATCCTTTTCGTGTGGGTCCAGTTGTGTCCGGACTGCGAGGTTCAAACGATGGCTAGCGCAGCCAACAAGCGGCACGCCCATGAGGCGAGCAAGCCGCATGTTGACAGCGCAGTTGTCGCCAACCAAAAATATGCAGTTAGACAGTTCTTTATCAAAAAAAATAGCAGGAATGCCGATAATGCTGCCATATGGGACTCAGCATCAAACCGCCCGGTTGCGTCAATGACAATCGGTGCCAAAGACAGCAGGGGGTACCTGGGGCCGGCGCGCGTCTCGTAGCAGCCGAAGACGGCAAGGTAGTGCTCGGACCCGTGTGTCCACCCGTCCAGCATCAGCCCGAACTTGTCGGGCATCTCGTTGCCCACGTGCACCTCGACCGCCTTCGTGAGGCTCTCCATGTTCTCTCGCAGAGTCTTGGTCGAAACTGGGGGCAGTTTAGTGTACCTAACACAAATTTTGAAACAAGTTAAAATTTATAATAGGAAGCTGGGTCAAATAATAGCCAATAAAAACCTGCGAGTAGACTCCATTTCAACGAATGAGAGTGGGAGGTTACCGTTCACGATCCACTCCAGCCAGGTGTACCTCGTCGACGCCTTCTGGCGGACCCACGGGAGTAGGGTGCCCGTTGCGGCGGAGCTGGCATCCTCCATCTCCTGTTCGTAGCGAGGGTGGTCGGTGCGCACGTGGGACACCAAGTTGGTGTACCCCGTTTTGGGGGCGTGCTTGCGCGTCTTGCCG